AAACCCTGAACCCCCCCCCCCCTCCATTAGAGCGAAGGTCCTTTTCTCCGGATCTTTGCGGTTCAACTTAGATCCCGTCGGCGAGGCATCGGATGCTCGGGCCACAAGAGCTACCCTAAGGCTCCAGGGACTTACATTTTAAGGCTTTTGGGCCCAAAGATCATACTATGAAAGGCTTTTGGCTTATTTTGAGGCACAAGAGCTATAGTCTAAACTCCTTAAAGGGGGATTATATAACCCCCTTTATTCAGGGTGTAGGGTTGTAGTATAAACTCTGTATTCAAGGAGTTTATATAGGCAATTATACAACCCACAAGAGCTATAGTCTAGACTCCTTAAAGGGGGCTATATAGGGTAATATATCACCCCCTTTATATAGGGTTTAGGGCTTAGGGTCTTGGATCCAAACTCCTTGAAGGGCGTTATTTAGGGGATGATATGTTATTTGGGGATGATGTAGGGAGTATTATGGGGGTTATTGAGGGGGATACTAGGAGTTTGGAGCAAACACTTTGGAGAGTTGCCCAGGATTCGTTTCTTGTTTTTGGACCAGATGAATCTAACGGGGGTGGGTGGAAGGAATTGCTAACACATTGGGGGCTTGCTGTCACAGGTGGCTCGCCTAAACCCTTACATTGTGTTTCCGTTCTGGGTCCCGTGCCCTTCGCCCAGAAGCCGGGCATGATTTTAACAACCGTCCATCTAAAGCCTCAAACTTGCGGTGTAATTACCTCTCAATGCTCTGCTAACCCTAAACCCCTAAACCAAAAAACCACTAAACATTCATCCTTAAACCTTATATCCTAAGCCCCAATCCCTAAGCCTTCGACTGTGAATTAGCCCAGAGAGCCCCATATAGCTTAATTAGGGAATCATATGGTAGTTGTTCAAAATACCTGTCCCCAAAATAGCCATAACGTAGGTTCTCTATTTAGTTAGGATCCCCCTTTATGGCAGTGTATTCCCAATGATCCCCATTTTACAAGGACCTCTAGAACATCTCCCATATTATTTTCCCTAATATGATCTACCCGGGACATTCCTTAATTAAGGGGTATGGGGCTCCCTGCGAACCCTAATCCTTAAACCCTAGTCCTTCATCCCTCAGCCCTTAATTGTAAGTCCTTAACCCTCTCAGGCTTATTAAGGTAGATATTAGGAGTTTCGATACAGCTCATATGAGCCCTAATCTTCAACTAGGCGGAACTCTTGTATTATTGATACTTTCTCCTGTTGTTCTAAAATGGGACCGTGCGGAGCCTTTAACACACCACCCTAAACCCCGAACCCTAAATCTACATCCTACATCCGAAACCCTAAACCCTAAGTCCCAAACCGTAAACCTTAAACCCTATTCCCTTAGCCTTAAACCCTAAACTCCCTAAACCCCTTCAAGCAGCTGAGGATTCTAACTTGTGGCTCAGCCTTCAGCGCTCGCACCTGTCGGACCACGTGTCGACGTCCCTGGGGCTTAGCAGGGTGTAGGGGTTTAGGATTTAGGGTTAAAGTTTAGGGATGTAGGGGTTAGGGTGTAGGGTTTTAGGGATTAGGGTGTAGGGGTTTAGGGATTAGGGTTTTAGGTTTTGCGGGTAAGGTTTTAGGGATCAGGGTGTAGTAAGGGTTTAGGATTTAGAGGTTAAAGTCTAGGGACTTAGGGGTTAGGGTGTAGGGTTTCGGGGATTAGAGTGTAGAGCTTTAGGGATTCGGGGTTCAGGGATTACGGTCACGGTCTTAGGGATTAGGGTGTAGGGGTTTAGGATTTAGGGGTTAAAGTCTAGGGATTTAGGGGTTAGGGTGTAGGGTTTTGGGGATTAGGGTGTAGTGATTTAGGGATATCCTTTTAGGGATTACTGTTACGGGTTTAGGGATTGGGGTGTAGGGGTTTAGGATTTAGGGGTTAGAGTGTAGGGATTTAGGGACTAGGGTGTAGGGGTTTAGGATTTAGGGGTTAAAGTGGAGGGATTTAGGGAATAGGGTGTAGGGGTTTAGGATTTAGGGGTTAAAGTCTAGGGATTTAAGGATTAGGGTGTAGGGGTTTAGTGTTTTTGGATTACGGTGAACGGTACAGGGATTAGGATTAGGGTGTAGGGGTTTAGGGATTGGGGTGTAGAGATTTAGGGTTTAGGCTGTAGGGGTTTTGGGTTCAGGGTTTGAGATCCCAAGGTGACCCCCAAAAAACAAACTCTGGAGCATTTGACCAAAGGACCCCGATTGAAAAGACCGACTCATCCTTATTACTGAGCCCGAACAAGCCTGATGGGTCACTAGGGTTTAGGGTTTAAGGTGAGGTTCGGTTTCTAATTCGACGGAAAGCCCTCAGGATCCAATGATTGGGGTTTAGGGGTGTATGGGTAAGGTCCAGAGTGTAGGGAGTGGGGTCAGGTTGTCAGGCTTCGGGTGTAGGATTTTAGCGCATGTGTTTTGAGTGGTGCGTGTCTGTGGTCCATTTCCTGAGGCCCTGCACCCCAGAATGGGACCCTACACCCAGACCCTAAACCCTTGAATCCTGGACCTCCCCAAACCTCGCACCCGCGAGCGCCGAAACCTGAGCTTACTGGTGATGAGCAGGGAATGGAAAAGAACACGGGAAACCAGGTTTAGGTTTCGGGTTGAGGGCTTAGGGCTTAGGAGCCAGGACTACCCTATCTATATAAGTACATATATGTATACATACAAAAAAGTGTTGAGGATTACCCTGAACCTCTGAACCCTACTCTCTTTCATGAATGCTTGGGGTTTAGGCACTTGTCCAGACCCCAAGCCCTCATGGAAGATGGTAATTTGAAATTGGTATTGGCGATGATCTCCCTAAACCCTAAACCCTAAACCCATTCATTACGATGGAGATCCAGGCCTCCATTCCACACATTAACCACCAGGAAGTACTGTAGAAGCTCTGTACCCTAAAATCCCTTTACCCCAAACTTTCAGCCCAAAACCGTTAAGGCTGGATGGTGGCCATGGAGATCGTGGGTTAGATGCCGTTGTCGCGGAGCAAGGGAAGAACTTCTCCTTGGGGCAGAGACAGCAGATGTGTTTGGCTAGGGCCGCTTGTCTTCTAGGGTTAGGGGTCCGTCATTCTTGTCCGTTTTTGTCTAGGGACTTTTGGAGGGACCCCTACTAGGGACTCTTGTATTTTGGGTTAATATGGGGACTACCTAGGGATATAGGGGTTATATAATGACTATATAGGGGTTATAATGTTCATGGGATTAAGGATCCCTATTAGGGGTCCCTCCTAAACTAGATTTTGAGTTTGTTCAAAGTCAGGCTGGGTATCTTTAGGGTTTGGGGTTTAGGGTTTAGGGTTTAGGGTTTTTAGGGCTAGGATATTGATTCTGCTTTCGCAGTACATCCCGGAAAGAAACGTTAGGAACCTTCATAACCAAAAGCTAGGGGCTCCCCTTCAGAAATGCTGTGGTTTAGGGCTTAGGGTTGACGAAAACAATTGGAAAGAGGCCACCGCAGGCAGCGCTCTTGCTCCAATCCTACCCTGCACCCTACATCTTGAACCCCAAGCAAACCCTAAACACTAAAGCCCTCCTGAGGTCCTAGCTCCTAATCTGTGAAACTTGATCCCTCCATCCTCCACGTGGGCCATTGCTGGGTTTAGGGTTTACTACTAAAACCTCAGGGAAAATGTCGAGTCATTTTTCCCACAGCCCCTTAGCACAACCCGCAACCTAAACTCTGTGAGCCCGACGCGCGCAGCTCTTGACCCTAAAGCCCCAAAGCCCAAACACTAAACTCTAACCCCTAATCCTAAACCCCTAACCCTGAAACTCTTGATCCTAAGATCCTTAACCTGAACCTCTCAACCTCAACCCTACACCCTAGATCCCAAAGCCCTATCCTAAACTCTCAACCCCTCAAACCTTCAAACCCTAAACCCTAAACCCTAAACCAATGAACCCCTAAACCCAAAACCCTTCAAGTGAGGCCTTACTCCGATCCAACGTGATCCTCCTCTTGGATGAGGCGACATCTGCAGTGGACCGGGACACTGACAACCTGATCCAGGCAAGTGTTTAGGGTCCAGGGTTTAGGGTTCAAGGTTTAGGATTTAAGGGTTTAGTGTGTAGGGCTTAGGGTTTAGGATTTAAGGGTTTAGGGTTTAGGGCTTAGGGTTTAGGATTTAAGAGTTTAGGGTTTAGGGCTCAGGGTTTAGGATTAAGGGTTTAGGGTTTAGGGTGTAGGGCTTAGGGCTTAGGGTTTAGGAATTAAGGGTTTANNGGGTTTAGAATTTAGGGTGTAGGGCTTAGGGTTTAGGGTGTAGGGCTTAGGGTTGAGGGGTTAGGGGCTTGGGCTTGGGTTTTGATCATTTGGGTTCAGGTTTGAGGGTGTTGGGTTTCGGCACCCGGGAAGTTTTTAGGTTCAACGGTTATTTGGGGGATATATAGGGGTTCTGTGATGGGGGTGATAGGGGCTATATGGGCGTAATAGTGATCCAGCAAAGGGATTTCAGGTTTTAGGGTTATTCTCTCAGGGGCTCAGGGATTTGGAGGCTTCCATTCGGATTTAAAGGAAGCTATGAGGGTTAAGAAGGGATATATAGGGCTTGGCAGATTAAGGGGAAGGAGTTTGAGATGTAAGGTTTAGGGTTTAGGGCGTAGGGTTCCGGTTTTTAGGGTCTGGGGTGTCATAGCGGTAGATGTTATAATGGCTCTGCGGGGTCTAAGTCACAAGGATTAAACCTTAGCCTTTTTTCAGGAGTTCTCCTTAAGTAGTAGGGAAATAGCTATGGGCGCATGGCTGTGTTACCTTCAGGAGAGGTGTTACTTTAGGGAGGTCATGGGTGCTTAGGCACGTAAGGGTTGGGTGGGGTTAGGTTTTGGTGATTTAGCGATTTTGGAGATTTTCCAGGTTCAGGAAGCAAGGTTTAGTGTAATGTAGCACCCAATTTTTTGAACAAGAATATTAGTATATTGTGCTGCTGCAAAGCAACGGCTGCACGGGCTCTGATCCAGAAAGCAAAACTTGGAGCTTTGGGCTTGATTTAGGGTTTAGGGTTTGGGGTTTAGGATGCCACGGATTGAGGGTTTGTAGTCCCCCTTGAGTAGATAGAATATGGGGTATATGGAGATCTTCTTGTAATGTACCCAAAGCCATATTCTATTTACTTAAGGGGGACCATGGGGTTGAGGGTATTCAGGGTTTATTGATTCAGTCCCTGTTTGAAACAGGGGCATGGAAAGCCAAGTTGTAACCAGGTATTATCCAATGGTCCTTAATTCATGTTTGGCAGATAACACTCCTGCTTCGTGACGTACCGACTTAGCCCCTCAACCCTAAATCCTACGTCATCCCAGTGTCCATGTCAATTCCCATGTTCTTTTCTACCTGATTCTCCAGTATTGGAATACAAATAACCCCGTACAACTACAACCCTATATATCCCAATAAAGCCCCAAACCCTAGACCCCAATATGATCCACATAGCTTACGCATCCCTAAACCTACCAAGCCGTTTCTTCCCTGCCAGGAGACCATCAGAACCGAGTTTTCCACTCACACGGTCCTGTGCATCGCACACCGGATATCTACAATCATGCATTCTGATAGGGCCGCCGGGCTGCGGTTCAGGGTTTAGGGGTTTTGGGTTACATGGGGGTTATAAGGGGCGCATGTGGGGTGATATGGGATTTGGGGCTTGTATAGGGTTATATACATTGCTGCCGCAATACTGGAGAATCATATGGAAAACTAGATGGACAAATCAAGCTGGGCTTATACATAGGGGTTTATATGGGGATTGTATGTGGGGCCTGAATAATCCCTAAACCCTAAACCCTAAACCTATGTTGTACAATTGTCTGGGCTTCCCCTGAACCCGAGGGCTTCTACTTGAAGGCTTCGGGGTTATGGCTGCGCTTCCCCAAAGCACCATGGAATCCCAGGTTTAGGGTTTAAGGGGTTAGGGTTTAGGGTTTAGGGGTTAGGGTTTAGGGTTTAGGGTTTAGGGGTTAGGGTTTAGGGTTTTAAGCCCCAGTTTGGAGCCAGGGACGGGTGATGATTGTTTCAGCGATTGTCCCTTGAAATTCGCCGTGCCCGGATAGGTGCACTTTACATTTCTAGGGGCCTGCGCAACCCTGCATTCGATGCCACATCTAGAGAGTTTTGTTTAACGCCTCCCAACATTGATAACCCCAAATAGGGCTCTTCAAACAGCACCGTAGTCTTTTGTAGAGCCATTTTAGGCATGTATGTTAATCCCCTCACCCCCCACCCTAATATTAGATATTCCCAATATACTTTAATATCAGCGGGGTGGGGGTGTTTAATATTGAGGGGCAAGTACTAGTTTGGTTGAGGTGAATTTTAAGCCTTAAACAAACCCTAAACCCTAGTTTGGGTGAGGTGAATGTTAAGCCTTTAAAGTTCCTTTCATCGCATCCCACAGAGCGTATCTTCCACGCTGAAGCCGCCAAACCCTGCCTGAGTCTAGGATTTTGGGATTAGGGGTTCGGGTTTAAGATTTCGGGATGAGGGTATAGGGTCTGGGATTTCGGGATTAGGGTTTAGGATTTCGGGATTAGGGTTTAGGATTTTGGGATTAGGGTTTTGGCTTTTGGGATTATGGTTTTGGGCTTTGGCATTAGGGTTTGGGGTTTTGAGATTAGGGTACACGCAGCATAGTAGACTACATAGCATCATCAACTTTCACACAAACTGATCCCGGTGTCCAAAATTATACGTCCTAACCCCCTGAACCAAGCCCTCCAACCCCCATCCCCGCCAAACTTTAAATCCTAAAAACCAAAAAATCCAAACCCTAAATCCAAAGCTCTAAACCCTGAACCCAAACCCTAAACCCTCAGCTATTTTCCAAGGTCTGTGTCCTAGATGCAGGGCAGGTGGGTGGCCATCAAAATTCTTGGTTTCATTCAAAAGGGCTTGTAGAGGAAAAGTATATAAGGTTTGGGGGGATGACATGGGGTGTAGGGTTTAGGGTTTAGGGATCTTCCGAAAGAATTCAACCTAGATAATGCACAAATGTATCACATGTTCTAGCACTATGTATGCCAGCAATACAGTTTTTCTCTGGAATTTCTGAGGTCCCCTTATTACTGTAAAGCTGAACATTAGGAAAAAGGGTACCCTCGTTATTATGGGGTTGTTGGGGAACCTAGAGCATATCGAGCGGCCTTATGCCGAAATCGGGGAATAATTGCTTGTTGCTTGGGCGTTCAGGCAGGAACCTTGGAACAAGGACGACTTGGATAGTGGCGCATAGTTCAATGTCACGCGTGATCAAATCTGTTGGACGGTTGCTAGGACGGTGCCGGCAAATGTGGGGACAAACGTGAATTCCCCTCTTGCGACATTCTATTCCCTTGCAGAATTTTTGCAATTGCCTACAGGGGTAGAATTCTGTCAAAATCGTGTAGACCCTCATCATCAAGCTCCTGCAAAGTACAGGCAAGATTTGCCGGTTGAATGCCTGTTCAAATTTGCAGGGTCCCCAGAAACAGAGTCAGGTTGTTTTCTTCAATCTTAGCTTCAAAGAGCCTTGCATGGCCTAACCACCCAAGCCATCCCCACCAATTGTTGCCTCTACCGGGCCGAGTAATTGCAATCAAGTAGATACAGCTCCCATGCAGTTTCCCTGAGAGTTTCATAGAAGCACTTGACTATGAATCCCTGGGAACCAGCACTTTACCACACCAGGCATAAATATGAGAGGTGATCTCCGTGAAGTGCATATGCTCCCAAAAACAAGTCGGCCAAAACACCTGTAGATTTGGCGAACACCTTCTCTAAGCTAAATGGATCCTAGGAAGCTGCAGCAGTCCATGTGGGCTTGGGTGTTCTGCTTCAAACGGCCAGGACTGCAGCCCCAACTAGACCCCCGGCAAATTCATAAGGCCTCCAGGGCCTGAACCGTAGATCTCACAAACGTTCCACCGTTGCACCTGAACCTAGCTGCCAAACCCAGGAATTCTGATGTCCTACTGAGGTTCTCTTGTGCTTTGGTTTTAGCATATCGTTCCAAACAGTGCCATAAAACAGAATCACGCAGACCAATTTGTTCTTGGCCTAAGCCATCTCTATGCTTAACCTCTTTAGCCTCGAGCACCGGAAACTAAAACTAAAAACGTAACCCCTACGGCTTATAACCAAAACTCCAAAAATTAAACCCTGAACCCTAAACCCTAGACCCCCAATCCCAAACCGAAATCTCTAAACCGGAACTGCCTCAAACCTTAAACCAGGCACAAAACTCAAGTCAGCAGCATGGGCCCTTAATCAGCGCATCCCTATGGGCCCAATATACGCCTTGTGTATCCCCCTAAACCCTAAACCCTAAACCCTAAACCCTAAACCGTTTAGGGTTTAGGGTTTAGGTCCTAAATCCTAAATCCCAAACCTTAGACCCTAAACCTAAAACCCAAATTAGGTACCGCAATTCCACATTCTATCTACTTAAGGGAGACTATAGAATTTCTGCTTTGGGGTTTCGGGCTTTTGACAAGAAGTGGAAGTTAGGGTTTAGGGCTTAGGGTGGCCCTGCATAATCCCCACAAATAAGGTACCTTTCATGCGAACAATCTAGCATGACGCCACCCTAAACCCTTTGGGAGGTATGGTATTTTCGTACAGCACGGGTCATATTTGCAGAGTTTTTAGTAGCAACCCTAATTACCACGCGAGTTTTCCATTCCTTCATTCCCGACGGACAAGCAAGTGTACAGTGCCCTAGACCTTGAACGCTGAGCCCTGAACCCTAAACCCTGAACCCTAAACCTTACATGAACCCCAAAAGTATGTAAAATGATAGCCTAAAACACCCAAATATAGCCCAAGAGGCCATTATTCTACATACTTTTGGGGTTCAGGTAATTCCTGGTCTGCCAGGTCGTGGAACTCGGTCCGCCAAATGATCTCATGAAGAATGCCTCCTCGCAATTCGCAAGACTCGCGAAGTTGCTCGGTCATTGTCGGAAATGCATTTCACGTTATGGTTTACGGGGTTTGGTTATGCTGGGATTAGGGTTAGATGGGGGGTAATGGAAAGTAAAATGGAAACTAATATTTAGGATTTGGGGTTTAGGGGTTGGAAATGCGTTTATACGGTTTTATGGCTCCTTACTGGCTTTGGGTGGGGTGTTTAGAGTACAGTCTGTCTGGGCTTTCAAAGTAAGAGTCCCTTCGGGCAAAAACAAAAAAACAAGGACTACATGTGTAACTTTCAGGATCTTTGAGGCAATAAAAAAAGGACGACATGGTGTTCAATGCCCCATGTCCCTTCAATTGTCACGTCGGCTTTCGCGAATCCTAGACCCTTTATACAGCAAGCAGAAGCAGAAACCTAAACCCTGAACCCCTGAACCCCCAACCCCTAAACCACTGAACCCCAAATCCTAAACCCCTAAACCCCAACGACCCAGGTTGGACTCCGCATGAGGGGCGAGCGTTTATCCTCTCTGAGTACATATCGAATGTACGGGGAGACCGTATGGTTTAGGGTTTAGGGTTCAGGGTTTAGGGTATGTCAGGGGTTGTCAGGGTCTATGGTGGAAGGTCTAGTTTAGGGTACAAGGGTTTTTCCTCCGGATCCATCTTCCATCTGTGTTGGCTTGTGAGGTACCACGGATTCTATCCGTGACCCGCCAGTCACCTACAGCTTGACGGGCTATGCCAATTACTTATAGGATCCAGTACAATTGAGCCATGGGTAAGTGGGGTTCCAGGTATCCGTTGCTGGCCGCATTTTCTTGGCCCACTTGGGGTCGCAGGTTGTTGTTGCATAGTCCAAACAACCGGCAGCCTGCAGCGGTCAAAAGGAGTGCCAGCGACTTTTGTGTGTTGCTGGATGTTGTTGCCATGGAACTCATGCTAAGCTACCATGGTATGGGTATAGTATATACATATACAGTAGCTAGTACGTTTTGAGCACAAGTTAGGCCACCATGACAAGGATAGAGGGTAAATGATATGGCTTCTACTTCTCCTTCACAGGCGTACTTGAGCATCACTTCCTTGACAGCAACCCAGAGTTTCTTTGCGCCCTAAACCCAAGCCCTCCCTAATGTAGACCCCTTAACCCTAAACTCTCCCTAATGTAGACCCTTTACTTATTGGTAAACCCCCCCACCTTAGTAGGTACTATACTAGGGATCGGAGGATCCTAATTAAGGCCTTTTAACGGAGGGGTTTTATGAATTACGGGTCTACATTATGTCAGCCACTTAAGAGGACACTCTGGTTGTGAGACACATCGTCAAGGTTTGAGCGGTCAGGGCTTAAGGCCCCATTTCACGCAGTTCAAGAGCTCCATAGTCAACGTAGAGACGAATGCTAGTTGAAAGTAAGGTTGCATTTGAAAGTGTAGCATCACGTCGAGAACCTTGCTTACTCCGTAAAGATTCAAACTACCAACTGTAGTGGGGTGGCCTGGGAGGGAAACGAGCCACGCTTTAGGGCCTTCCATGAGCCGAAAACCCGCGGATTCAGGGTCACGGAGCAGTCTGATAATGTTCCGGGTCTCATGTCATATACATCCTACGCTTTGGGTTCTTGAGGTTTCAGACCTCGGGTTAAGGCTTCAAAGCGTTTTGGGTTTAGGGGGAACCTTACAAAAATCTAATAATCTACAGCCCCTAAGAAAGCCCTAAAGCCTACACCCTAAACCATTTTAGACACTGGTCTTTCTTGAAGTTGGGATTCTCCTAGAAAGTCTCCCAACGCAGTGTACCTGGACCCCAAACCTAGGAAAAATGATGGCGGGGTACTTCAGGGACGCGGGTAGTGCTCTCTTTCTCTCTCTCTCTCTCTCTCGAGATATATATATATATATATTTATTTATTTATTTATATAACAGTGATCCCACACACTCTACATGCTGTTGCTATTTCCCGCAGCATTTGCAGAGCCCGCCAGCGCCACACGTAGCGCGCTGGAAATGGGCCGAAGTGCCTTTGTTTAGAAGGTTTGGGTTACGGGGCTTGCCCTAGGGATCCAAGCACACAAACAACACCAATAATGGAAAGCCATCTGGACAAGAAAATGGAGAATGACATGGAAGCTGGGGGTATGAAGAGGCTATATAGTTTACATATCAAATATTACTTACATTGGGCCCCAAAGTCTGTACATATTATTCACATTGGTCTATTTGGCTGGCTTCAGCGAGCAGCGTCGCAGGGTAGTAGTTGTTGTGATTATGGAGTTCACGAATCAAGGTTTACGGCTTACGTTTTCAAGTTGCAGCCTGAAATCTAAGCCCTCAACCCTAAACCATGAACCCTCAAACCCGAATGAAACCCTAAACCCTCAACTCTAAGCCCTACACTCTCAACCCGGAACTCTGATCATGATTGAGAGTTTGACGTTCAAGGGTAAACTGGAGATTTGAACTCAGCCACTAGCATATAGGCTTGGTGGTGCCAGATGCCCGATGCCTTATCCCTAAATGGGTCAAACTTCAAAGCGCTATGCCCATTTAGGGCTCAGGGCTCAGGGTTAAGCCTCAAACCCTTCTGCACACATGTGGGCCCACATGTACGTGTACAGTCTCGAAGTTGTACATGTCAGATCATTTTGTGATAAGCCTGCAAATCCATTTCGTTGCAGCTTAAAAATGGTTGCCTGTACAGTATGTATGTATTGTCTGGTGAACCCCAAACTGGAGGCTCAAGGCTCAAGCACTCTAAACCCCCGCCGCACCCTACACCCTGACATATCCTACGCCCTAAGTAAAATCGTAGATCCGGGATATCCCTAAAAACCCCACCCCTCCAATTTCAACAGCCCTTCCCCTAAAACTGTAGATCCTTCAAACTGGCCTTAGGATTTGGGGTTTAGGGTAGATCTTTCAAATCCCATATATTCCTAGGTCCTAGAACTCCTCCTTCCAAACTTTGAAAGGGATCTCAGACCCTCCGGCTCGAAGTCTGGTGCTGAACAAATATGGGGGTTTCCCAAAATTAGGGTTACCCTTTTTGGGGTTCCTGATAATAAGCACTATGGTATTTGGGGGTCTATACTGGGGTCCCCCTATTTCAGGAGATTACCATATGTTGACGGGGGGGCAAAGTTCATAGATACTATCCATTTTGGGCTATTGGAAGCCGTGGGGTATGGATTTTGCGAAACCCAAGATGCGAATTAAAACCCTGCATCCTACGCCCAGACTGCCCAAAGCTCCCCACCGTCTGAGAAGCGGTTCCCAAGAGTGCCCTAAGCCCTAAACCCTAGGGTTTAGGGTTTAAGCTCAACAAGCAGCCCCGAAACCCCCTAAGCCTTAAATCCCCTAATCCTAGCCCCCCTAAGCCCTCAACCCTGGACCTTCAACCCTACACCTTAAACCCTAAGCCTCAAAGACTGATGCTTTTCATTACCTGAGCCCCCAAAGTATGTAGAATAATGGCCTTTTGGACTATATTTGGGGGTTTTGGGCTATTATTTTACCTACTTTGGGGGTGTAGGTAAACACATCTGGAGAAAGACAGGTGCCTCGCGTAGCCGTTCCCGGCGCAAGCGCAGCCGAAGCTTGTCGAAAGCTTTGGGGCTTAGGGTCGGCGCAGTTTAGTCGGGGAAGTTAGTTTAGGGCTTAGGGTTTATGGTTTAGGGTTTAGGGTTCAGGGTTTAGGGTTCAGGGTTTAGGGCTTAGGGTTTAGGGAGGTCAGTGCAGCTTCATGAGGGGGGAGTTGGTTTGGTTGGGGCTTCAGGTATAGGCTTCGAGGTTTGAGGTGGGTTTGTGAGGTTGAGGGCTTTTTGTTTTACAATGGCGGGTCCCCTGGCATAATGACCTAAGTTTCTAGAGTGTCAGAGACCTTAAACCCTAAACCTAAACCTGCAATGTGTGTTTACCTTGACTCCCAAAGTAGCTGAAAGGATGGCTGAAAAGTTCTACGCAGGTTTGGGGTGTAGGTAGGGCTTAGGCATGCTTAGGCAGTGGGGCTTAGAGTCTAGCGTTCGGGAGTCTTAGACCTAAACCCTAAACCCTTAAACTCTAGGGTTCAGGGTTTGGGGAGGAGTTTAGGGTTTGGGGTGTCCCAGGTTCTTAACAGTGAGAAGCAAGGTTTGATTTACACTGCGAAATCGCTGAACTGAAGCCATAAAGCCCCCTAAAGCAAAGCCCCCTTTACACAGTTTCCAGGTCTAGAGTTCAGGCCCAATTTACAACAAAGCCCCCTTTACACACTTCAGTGTTTAATTAAGGTTGAGACTCGTTTCAAAATAAGGCCCTGTTTGCACAGTTCAGGGTTTATCAGTAAAAATCCTTTTTTTACACAGTTCAGGCTTTAGGGTTTAGAGCCATTTTGAAAGAATGCCCTCTCTACACAATTCAGGGTACAGAGTTTAGCCTCATGTGAAGAGAACTGTAGTTGCTAAACCCTAAACTGAAGTCTACGTGACGTGTGGTTTTTTATCGGTCATAGGAAATATGTAAAAGGATGGTCATTCGATTCGTGACGCAAGGCTTTTGATTTGAAAACGGTAGCACAGTCACAAAAAGCAATAACGACAACATGTACGCCGGAAATTGGAAAACGATGACACACCTACCAACTCTTCAATGATCAGCTGCCCAGAAAAAAACTGCGCATCACATAGGACCCGTCTGGAGGTTCCATGTACAAGTTTAGGTGAGGGTACATGCAGCTATCTTAAGGTCATTTGGTTCTTGCTATGCAAGAATTGTTCTACAGCAACATAAAGGGCACGTTCTCAGGAATGTAGGAACAGTTCAACTCAGTTTGGGCTTCCCAACGGTCTTTCATAGGAGTACTGCAGCCGTCCGTTGCTGGTATTACTAGGGTTAAGATTCAAGGTTTCAGCGTTGCTGTCATACCGATTTCATTCTACATCCTAAGCGGCGGTGAAACATGGCTTCCTAGTATGACAAATACTCGCCACGACTTTTGTGGAGTTCTTGAAGTACTCGAGATTGTAAAGCAATAGGTACCTGCACAATGACCTGTTTTTTAAAGATCCCCCCCTCCCCNNAACCCCCCCCCCCCCCCTCCCCCCCAAACACTTCTCAGGCACCAGAACGCTTTTAGTGCCCCTTGAGTAGATAGAATGTGGCTTTGCGTATATTATAAAAAGCCCATATTCTATCTACTTCAGGGGGACTATAACCTAAACCCTAAATCCTGAACCCTATATTCTATCATAATGCTTAGGCCTTTTAGGGTGTAGGGTTCAGGCTTCAGGGCTCTCAGTTCAGCGTGTAGGCTCTGGCAGTTACAGATCTGCGGCCTAAGGCAGCTAGGGATTCCTTACTCAGGATTTAGGGTTTAGGGCTCAGAGTTTAGGGTTTAGGTAATGCTCAGGGTTTAGGGTTCAGGGTTTAGGGCGCAGGGTTTAGGGCGCAGGGTTTAGGGTTCAGGGTTTAGGGTATAGGGTTTAGGGAGAGGGGGGGCAGGATATGTTGGTATGATTATAGGAGATGTTTTAGGATAGGACTGTACTTCCCTACGCCTCAGGTTTAGGCTTTAGGGTTGTAGCCCAAAGTCCCCTAAAACTTCCTTTTGGAGAGCACCGGCTTTTTGTGATGTAAACCTAAACCCTGAAACCCCGACCTCATGGCACTGGTGTCCCATCCAAGGATCAAGGGCGCGCAAAGAGAATCGCAGCCGGTCAAAAAACCGTAGATCAAAGTCGAGCACTTTGCCTGCAATAAAACTGGGTTGTTGTAAAGGAACTTGAACTAAGCTGTGTATGTTATGAAAAGATACTTGACGCTTTCAGTATCAACTGTCGAATCCCACGTGTCGAGGTCATTAGGTTCTGAGTGAACTCAGTTGGGATGGATGACAGGGCTCTTTTCAATTCTGAGTTTGGGGGGTTACCAACCCTAAACTCTAAACCCTAAGTTAAGTCCTAAGCAAACCCTCTCAAACATGGAGCTCACTCGATCTGAGGAAGTTCATACCCCCCAAACCCCTAAACCCTGAACCCTACCTGAACCCCAAAAGTATGTAGAACAATGGCCTCTTGGGCTATATTTGGGTGTTTCGGGCTATATCTAACCCACTTTTGGGGTGAAGGTAAACCTTAAACCACCCTAAACCCTAATCCTAAACCCTAATCCTAAACCCTAAACCCTCAACCCTAAACCCTAAATCCTAAACCCTAAACCCTAAACCCTAATCCTAAACCCTAAACCCTAATCCTTCCTGCAAGCTTTGCCTCGGAAAGCTGGTCACTGCGGCTCTTTCCCGGTTAGAAGATGGCAAGTCTTCAGCCACACGGTTCACGGGTTTAGGGTTTAGGGTTTAGGGATTAGGGTTCAGGGATTAGGGGTTTAGGGTTTAGGGATTAGGGTTTAGGGATTAGGGTTTAGGGTTTAGGGATTAGGGTTTAAGGTTTAGGGTTTGCAGTCCCCTTCAAAGCCTCATCCCCC